TGTTGTTATGTTGTTAGTTATATGTTGTTATGTTGTTAGTCCTGTGTTGTTATGTTGTTAGTCCTGTGTTATGTTGTTAGTCCTATGTTGTTATGTTGTTAGTCCTGTGTTGTTATGATGTTAGTCCTGTGTTGTTATGTTGTTAGTCCTATGTTATGTTGTTAGTCCTATGTTGTTATGTTGTTAGTCCTATGTTGTTATGTTGTTAGTCCTATGTTGTTATGTTGTTAGTCCTATGTTGTTATGTTGTTAGTCCTGTGTTGTTATGTTTGTTAGTCCTATGTTGTTATGTTGTTAGTCCTATGTTGTTATGTTGTTAGTCCTGTGTTGTTATGTTGTTAGTCCTATGTTGTTAGTTATGTTGTTAGTCCTATGTTGTTATGTTGTTAGTCCTGTGTTGTTATGTTGTTAGTCCTGTGTTGTTATGTTGTTAGTTCCATGTTGTTATGTTGTTAGTCCTATGTTGTTATGTTGTTAGTCCTATGTTGTTATGTTGTTAGTCCTGTGTTATGTTGTTAGTCCTATGTTGTTATGTTGTTAGTCCTATGTTGTTATGTTGTTAGTCCTATGTTGTTATGTTGTTAGTCCTATGTTGTTATGTTGTTAGTCCTGTGTTGTTATGTTGTTAGTCCTATGTTGTTATGTTGTTAGTCCTATGTTGTTATGTTGTTAGTCCTGTGTTGTTATGTTGTTAGTCCTATGTTGTTATGTTGTTAGTCCTATGTTGTTATGTTGTTAGTCCTGTGTTGTTATGTTGTTAGTCCTGTGTTGTTATGTTGTTAGTCCTGTGTTGTTATGTTGTTATGTTGTTAGTCCCATGTTGTTATGTTGTTAGTCCCATGTTGTTATGTTGTTAGTCCTATGTTGTTAGTCCTATGTTGTTATGTTGTTAGTCCTGTGTTGTTATGTTGTTAGTCTTGTGTTGTTATGTTGTTAGTCCTGTGTTGTTATGTTGTTAGTCCTATGTTGTTATGTTGTTAGTCCTGTGTTGTTATGTTGTTAGTCCTGTGTTGTTATGTTGTTATGTTGTTAGTCCTATGTTGTTATGTTGTTAGTCCTATGTTGTTATGTTGTTAGTCCTATGTTGTTAGTCCTATGTTGTTATGTTGTTAGTCCTATGTTGTTAGTCCTATGTTGTTTTGTTGTTAGTCCCATGTTGTTATGTTGTTAGTCCTATGTTGTTATGTTGTTAGTCCTATGTTGTTAGTTCCATGTTGTTATGTTGTTAGTCCTATGTTATGTTGTTAGTCCTCTGTTGTTAGTCCCATGTTGTTATGTTGTTAGTCCTATGTTGTTATGTTGTTAGTCCTATGTTGTTATGTTGTTAGTCCTGTGTTGTTATGTTGTTAGTCCTATGTTGTTATGTTGTTAGTCCTATGTTGTTATGTTGTTAGTCACATGTTGTTATGTTGTTAGTCCTATGTTGTTATGTTGTTAGTCCCATGTTGTTATGTTGTTAGTCCTATGTTGTTAGTCCTATGTTGTTATGTTGTTAGTCCTGTGTTGTTATGTTATTAGTCTTGTGTTGTTATGTTGTTAGTCCTGTGTTGTTATGTTGTTAGTCCTGTGTTGTTATGTTGTTAGTCCCGTGTTGTTATGTTGTTAGTCCTGTGTTGTTATGTTGTTAGTCCCATGTTGTTATGTTGTTAGTCCCATGTTGTTATGTTGTTAGTCCCATGTTGTTATGTTGTTAGTCCTATGTTGTTATGTTGTTAGTCCTGTGTTGTTATGTTGTTAGTCCTATGTTGTTATGTTGTTAGTCTTGTGTTGTTATGTTGTTAGTCCTGTGTTGTTATGTTGTTAGTCCCATGTTGTTATGTTGTTAGTCCCATGTTATGTTGTTAGTCCTATGTTGTTATGTTGTTAGTCCCATGTTGTTATGTTGTTAGTCCTATGTTGTTATGTTGTTAGTCCTATGTTGTTATGTTGTTAGTCCCATGTTGTTATGTTGTTAGTCCTATGTTGTTATGTTGTTAGTCCCATGTTGTTATGTTGTTAGTCCCATGTTGTTATGTTGTTAGTCCTGTGTTGTTATGTTGTTAGTCCCATGTTGTTATGTTGTTAGTCCTGTGTTGTTATGTTGTTAGTCCTGTGTTGTTATGTTGTTAGTCCTGTGTTGTTATGTTGTTAGTCCTATGTTGTTATGTTGTTAGTCCTGTGTTGTTATGTTGTTAGTCCTGTGTTGTTATGTTGTTAGTCTTGTGTTGTTATGTTGTTAGTCCTGTGTTGTTATGTTGTTAGTCCCATGTTGTTAGCCCTATGTTGTTAATCCAATGTTGTTATGTTGTTAATCCTATGTTGTTATGTTGTTAGTCCTATGTTGTTAGTCTTATGTTGTTAGTCCTGTGTCGTTAATCAGCACGCCCTCATACACCCAGGAAACATTAATAATAATAATAATAATAATAATAATAATAATAATAATAATAATAATAATAATAATAATAATAATAATAATAATAATTATATTAATAAACATAATCACAACAAATTATTACAAGGTAAACAACCAAGCGACTGTTACGAGGACCTTTACATCACGAATGATACATATCATTGTTATACAATAGATACATATCATTGTTATACAATAGATACATATCATTGTTATAAACATCATCATTCATTTTGCCCAGAATTAAATTCAAGTTTGGATTCCTTTGGAAATCGATCAAAATATGAAGGTTTTCTTTTGACAATTAGGCACTGATATGATTGTATTGGAACAGGAGTGCTGGTATTATCGTCTGATATAATTGTACTGGAGTTGAGAGTGCAGGCGTCACCCACTACTTGATTGTACTGGATCTGAGAGTGCAGGTATCATCTTCTGATATGACTGTGCTGGATCTGAGAGTGCAGGCAGGCATCCCGTCATGATTGTACTGGAGCTGAGAGTGCAGGCATCCTCCCGTCATGATTGTACTGGAGCTGAGAGTGCAGGCATCCTCCCGTCATGATTGTACTGGAGCTGAGAGTGCAGGCATCCTCCTGTCATGATTGTACTGGAGCTGAGAGTGCAGGCATCCTCCTGTCATGATTGTACTGGAGCTGAGAGTGCAGGCATCCTCCTGTCATGATTGTACTGGAGCTGAGAGTGCAGGCATCCTCCTGTCATGATTGTACTGGAGCTGAGAGTGCAGGCATCCTCCCGTCATGATTGTACTGGAGCTGAGAGTGCAGGCATCCTCCCGTCATGATTGTACTGGAGCTGAGAGTGCAGGCATCCTCCCGTCATGATTGTACTGGAGCTGAGAGTGCAGGCATCCTCCTGTCATGATTGTACTGGAGCTGAGAGTGCAGGCATCCTCCTGTCATGATTGTACTGGAGCTGAGAGTGCAGGCATCCTCCCGTCATGATTGTACTGGAGCTGAGAGTGCAGGCATCATTCCGTCATGATTGCACTGGAGCATTATCTTCTGATATGATTGTACTGGAGGCTATTCTCGCCAAAGCCTCTGCTCATAACTGATGTCTATAATTAAACAGGATTAGTTACTCAGGTAACTGGGCCAAAGAGTTTCATATCGGCTAATTTCTTGCCTAACGAATAATGTATAAAAAGATGAACTACGCTATTAACTATAAATGATTCTTTAGGGAGATCGTTGAAAGTTGATCAAAAATGTATTAATTATCTTTACAAAATTGAAGCCTGGTATAATTACCGGCAATCATTATGGACTGGATTAGTTGTAATTGATAATATTCAAAAATTTCCTAGCATAAGTATTTAAAGCAATTAATATATAGTAAATTATATTTATTACGCTTGTAGAGAGGCCAGTTCCCCCCCCCCCATTCCCAACACCATGTACCAGACAAGTGACAATCGTCTCACTAAAGGGATCGGCTACTACATCTGGCGGGAACTTGATGAAACAATTGACATACTTGGCGGTAAATTTATGGAACATCTGACAAATTAAACGTGACTGAAATAATTCGTCTCGAGTACATGGATGGAATCGAATGTGTTTTTAGTATATATTGTCATCGATACAGTTTGAAACTATTATGTTCTGTGGTCAAACAAAGCGCTGAAGCACCTCCACCTTAGGCAACGAATGGGCCAGGCCATAACGTTATCAAGTACTTAAAAAAGCCTAAAACAAATGAAAGGTTAACGTTAACAAGATGAAAGAGCTCGAACATGATTATGGGACTAATGAATAGTGAACCTCATAAAAGTGTTGCTAACAAGCTGGAGGTAAAGTCCGGTAAATAAGTGATTCAGTCGAAAAGTTCAATATTGAAAGGAGCAAACAGCAGCACAATTTTAGGTTAGATAGTGTGTTAAGATCGGCGGGAGCGCCCAGGGGGCGGTCGTAGCGAGGTGGTGGCCGACCACGGCGCGCCCACCACTACAACGGCGCGCCCATGACATCAACAGGACGCCCACACGATGCCCATGACACCAACGGGACGCCCACATGATGCCCTTGGCATCAACGGGACGCCCAAACGATGCCCATGGTACCAACGGGACGCCCACACGATGCCCAGGCTGCCCACAGGCCGCCCAGGCCGCTCTCAACACGACCAGCGCGCCCAAGGCCACCTTCCAGCACAGTGGCATCATATTCGCATCAAGAAGAAAATTAGAGGCAGTATTCCGCCCAAGATATTAAGATATTCACGCTGTTTATATCCCGTGAAATACTGCACTTCTATTACCATATATTTTGTATATATTTATATATATATATATTTATATATTTATTTATTTATATATGTATATTTATAACAATAAGAAAACTCTACTGTAGAAAAGGAGACTTACAAACAACAGAACTGTGACCCAAATCCGCATTGGTCTTAGGCCAGTTTTAGAAAATACTATGTAAGTTACATATATATATGTTTAATAACTATAAAGAGTTTTGGAATGAAAACAAAAGATGAACGCAAGTCCATTAGCACTGGATTCTTTCTTCAGGAGAATATAAGTGGGATGAAAGTGGCCACCGCCTCGGGGGGGGGGGGGGGGGGGGGGGGGTAAGGGCTACAAAATACTGAGTGAAGGACTTGCGTGAGTGAAGGACTTGCGTGAGTGAAGGACTTGCGTGAGTGAAGGACTTGCGTGAGTGAAGGACTTGCGTGAGTGAAGGACTTGCGTGCGTCTCCTGTTGACCCTCCATAGATATTTTCTGTCAACTCATAGAGCTATTCCTGTACATGAGAGATATTATTTATGCAGTGGCAGCAGACTATTGCTGCTGGTGTGCTGCACTGCATATTGGTCTTGCAGAGTGAGTGTGTGTGTGTGTATGTGTGTGTGTGTTCTAGGAGTCCTAGCCAACCACTTGGTCACAGGGCAGGAATCCTAGCTAAGCTGCTCAGAGGCTCACACTTGGGTAGGCGTCCCAGCCAATAAGCTGGGGGGCCGTGTCAGCTTTCTGCGTTGAACACTTCTCTGCTCTTTTCATAAATATCAATGTTCGTGTTGTTTAGTGAGGGGGGGGGGGTTTAGTTAGAGGGGTGGTGAGTGGGGTAATGAGTGGGGTGTTGAAAGGGATAGTGAGTGGACTGACATATCCCTCGAGTTTACAATTTGGTACTTCCTTTGACATTATAGTCTACCTCTAAAACTTATAATCTGGTACCCCCTTGACAACACAATTTGTAATCTGGTACCCCCCTTGACAACACAATTTGTAATCTGGTACCCTCTTGACAACACAATTTTTAATATGGTACCCCCCTTGACAACACAATGTGTAATCTGGTACCCCCTTGACAACACAGTTTGTAATCTGGTACCCTCTTGACAACACAATTTGTAATCTGGTACCCCCCTTGACAACACAATATGTAATCTGGTAAACCTTGACAACAGAATTTGCAATCTGGTACCCCTTGACAACACAATTTGTAATCTGGTACCCCCCTTGACAACAGAATTTGTAATCTGGTACCCCTTGACAACACAATTTGTAATCTGGTACCTCTTGACAACACAATATGTAATCTGGTACCTCTTGACAACACAATATGTAATCTGGTAACTCTTGACAACAGAATTTGCAATCTGGTACCCCTTGACAACACAATTTGTAATCTGGTACCCCCCTTGACAACACAATATGTAATCTGGTACCCCTTGACAACACAATATGTAATCTGGTACCTCTTGAAAACACAATATGTAATCTGGTACCCCTTGACAACACAATATGTAATCTGGTACCCCTTGACAACACAATATGTAATCTGGTAACTCTTGACAACACAATATGTAATCTGGTACCTCTTGACAACACAATATGTAATCTGGTACCTCTTGACAACACAATATGTAATCTGGTACCTCTTGACAACACAATATGTAATCTGGTAACTCTTGACAACACAATATGTAATCTGGTAACTCTTGACAACACAATATGTAATCTGGTAACTCATTATACAAAATGGTATAACTTACAATAATCATACAATAAATATTTCAAAATTCCAGATTACTTTAACTTGAATACAACATTATACACATTATTGACTTTAATTACAAGTTAGGTAATATGTTACAATTATTTGCAGAATGACTTGCCATATGTTTTATCAAACACCTGTAATATGTTTATTAATATTTTTGATAAAAGATGTTTCTCGAGACATCTTTGAGACTCGAGACATCTTTGAGACCCCGAGACATCTTTGAGACTCGAGATATCTTTGAGACCCCGAGACATCTTTGAGACTCGAGACGTCTTTGAGACTCGAGACGTCTTTGAGACTCGAGACGTCTTTGAGACTCGAAACATCTTTGAGACATCGAGACATCTTCAAGACATCTTTGAGACATCAAGACATCTTTGAGACATCTTTAAGACATCGAGACATCTTTGAGGCTAGAGACATCTTTGAGACTCGAGACATCTTTGAGACATCGAGACATCTCGAGACATCAAGACCTTTTTAAAACAATATTTCTATTATTGTGGAGATTTCATAGAATTTATTTTAGTAATATTGCTTGTAAAAAAGTATATATCTGGTGAACATACAAAATAGTTGAATTGTAAGTATAAAATTGACTATAATTTGTTGCAATGTTATATAGAGTTTAATGAAACAGCAAAAATGTGATGAAATTTATGTTATTTCATTAACTTTTAATAAATATTCCAAATATCTGAAAAAACCTTTCAAGGTTACCAGCGTTTGTGAAGAACAATATGAAACGTTACGAGAATTATTGCAAATCGGTCTATATTTGGTAAAGGTGCGTTTACCAGAAGGTTTTCGCGTCAGACCAGGGTGTATAGGTGAAGAACACCCTTAGAACACCAGCGTTGGAGCTGAGGGTAGGAAGAACATCTCTAGAACACCTGTGTAGGAGCCTAGGGGATGATCTCTATACTGTTGTATAGAGATCATTCCCTAGGAGATCATTTGTATAGAGATCATTCCCTAGGAGATCATGTCACACCACCCAGAGAGACTCCTCCCTGGCACCTGTTCAACCCTCCTGCCGGTCTGAGGAGTCTAGATAATGCTCTCTCTGTTCCTCTCGTTGTCGTCTGCACTGGAGGTGTTGCTGGAGTTGGCACAGAGCTGCATCTCGATCTCATGGAGGCGGTGCTCCACCTCCCACTGCTGCTGACTCAGCTTCAGGGTCATTGTGGCGTTCTCAGCTTCCAGGCTTACTAACCGCTCCCGCAGGCGCCGGATCTCCCCCAGCAGGAGCTCCTGGGGGGACGAGTCCCTGGGTAACGCCCCGGCGCTGTGGGACCCCTGCAGTATCATACCTGACGGTGTACAACGCCCTGGGTTAGTAATCTCCGCCAGTACACAACACATCTATTTAACACTGGTGATAGATTAGGAAAGTAGGGTCATTGGTGGTGATAGATGGATAAAGTTAGTGTTTGAAACGTCTAGAGAACGATTGTTAAGATTAATGTGTGTGTGTGTGTGTGTGTGTGTGTGTGTGTGTGTGTGTGTGTGTGTGTGTGTGTGTGTGTGTGTGTGTGTGTGTGTGTGTGTGTGTGTGTGTGTGTGTGTGTGTGTGTGTGTGTGTGTGTGTGTGTGTGTGTGTGTGTGTGTGTGTGTGTGTGTGTGTGTGTGTGTGTGTGTGTGTGTGTGTGTGTGTGTGTACTCACCTATTTGTGCTTGCGGGGGTTGAGCTTTGGCTCTTTGGTCCCGCCTCTCAACTGTCAATCAACTGGTGTACAGATTCCTGAGCCTACTGGGCTCTATCATATCTACATTTAAAACTGTGTATGGAGTCAGCCTCCACCACATCACTGCCTAATGCATTCCATCCGTTAACTACTCTGACACTGAAAAAGTTCCTTCTAACGTCTCTGTGGCTCATGTGGGTACTCAGTTTCCACCTGTGTCCCCTTGTTCGCGTCCCACCAGTGTTGAATAGTTTATCCTTGTTTACCCGGTCGATTCCTCTGAGGATTTTGTAGGTTGCGATCATGTCTCCCCTTACTCTTCTGTCTTCCAGTGTCGTAAGGTGCATTTCCCGCAGCCTTTCCTCGTAACTCATGCCTCTTAGTTCTGGGACTAGTCTAGTGGCATACCTTTGGACTTTTTCCAGCTTCGTCTTGTGCTTGACAAGGTACGGGCTCCATGCTGGGGCCGCATACTCCAGGATTGGTCTTACATATGTGGTGTACAAGATTCTGAATGATTCCTTACACAGGTTCCTGAACGCTGTTCTGATGTTAGCCAGCCTCGCATATGCCGCAGACGTTATTCTTTTTATGTGGGCTTCAGGAGACAGGTTTGGTGTGATATCAACTCCTAGATCTTTCTCTCTGTTCGTTTCATTAAGTACTTCATCTCCTATTCTGTATCCTGTGTTTGGCCTCCTATTTCCACCACCTAGTTTCATTACTTTGCATTTACTCGGGTTGAACTTCAACAGCCATTTGTTGGACCATTCACTCAGTCTGTCTAGGTCATCTTGTAGCCTCCTACTATCGTCCTCAGTTTCAATCCTCCTCATAATTTTTGCATCATCGGCAAACATTGAGAGAAACGATTCTATACCCTCTGGAAGATCATTTACATATATCAGAAACAGTATAGGTCCAAGGACTGACCCCTGCGGTACTCCACTCGTAACGTCTCGCCAATCTGAGACCTCACCCCTCACACTGACTCGTTGTCTCCTGTTACTTAGGTACTCCTGTATCCAACGGAGTACCTTCCCTTTCACTCCAGCCTGCATCTCCAGTTTTTTTCACTAGCCTCTTGTGTGGCACTGTGTCAAAGGCTTTCTGACAATCCAAAAATATGCAGTCTGCCCACCCTTCTCTTTCTTGCCTTATTTTTGTTGCCTGGTCGTAGAATTCAAGTAACCCTGTGAGGCAGGACCTGCCATCCCTGAATCCATGTTGATGCTGTGTTACAAAGTTCTTTCGCTCCAGGTGCTCCACTAGCTTTCTTCGCACAATCTTCTCCATCATCTTGCATGGTATGCAGGTTAGGGACACTGGTCTGTAATTCAGTGCCTCCTGTCTATCCCCTTTCTTGTATATCGGGACTACGTTGGCTGCTTTCCAAATTTCTGGCAGTTCCCCTGTTGCCAGTGATTTGTTATACACCATGGAGAGCGGGAGGCACAGTTCTTCTGCTCCTTCCTTTAGTATCCAAGGGGAGATTCCATCTGGGCCTATAGCCTTTGTCACATCCAATTCTAGTAAACACTTCCTTACTTCCCCGCTGGTAATCTCAAACTCTTCCAGTGGTTCCTGGTTAGCTATTCCCTCTCTTATCTCTGGGATTTCTCCTTGCTCTAAGGTGAAGACCTCTTGGAATTTCTTATTCAGTTCCTCACACACTTCCTTGTCGTTTGTAGTGAATCCTTCTGCCCCTAACCTTAATTTCATAACCTGTTCCTTTACTGTTGTTTTTCTCCTGATGTGGCTATGCAGCAATTTAGGCTGAGTCTTTGCCTTGCTTGCGATGTCATTTTCGTATTGTCTTTCTGCCTCTCTTCTCATCCTAACATATTCATTCCTGGCATTCTGGTATCTTTCTCTGCTCTCCAGTGTCCTGTTATTCCTATAGTTTCTCCATGCCCTTTTACTTTGCTGCTTAGCTAGCCTACATCTCTGATTAAACCATGGGTTTCTCATCTTCATTTCACTGTTTTCCTTTTGGACTGGGACAAACTTGTTTGCTGCATCCTTGCATTTTTGCGTGATGTATTCCATCATATCTTGGGCCGTCTTTTCCCTGAGCTCTGTTTCCCATGCTATATCTGCTAGGCATTTTCTTATCTCCTCATAGTTTCCCTTTCGGTATGCTAACCTTTTGGTTTCGGTATCCCTTCTCGAGTTCAATAACCCTTCTTCAATCAGGTACTCAAACACCAATACACTGTGGTCGCTCATTCCTACTGGGTCCTCAAAACTGATTTCTCTTATGTCAGAGTCGTTCAGGGTGAAAACCAGGTCGAGTCTCGCTGGTTCGTCATTTCCTCTCATCCTTGTGGGTTCACTGACATGCTGGGTTAAGAAGTTTCTAGTCGCCACCTCCAGTAGTTTGGCTCTCCACGTATCCTCGCCTCCATGCGGTTCCTTGTTCTCCCAATCAATCCTGCCGTGATTGAAGTCCCCCATGATGAGCAGGTGGGATCTATTTCTACAGGCAGAAGAGGCTGCCCTCTCAATTATAGTGTTAACTGCCATGTTGTTGCTTTCGTACTCTTGACTGGGTCTTCTGTCATTTGGTGGAGGATTATATATTACTGCTACTACTATCCTTGGTCCTCCCATTGTCATGGTGCCTGCTATGTAGTCTCTGAAACCCTCACAGCCCGGGATAGCCATCTCCTTAAAACTCCATTCCTTTCTCATGAGTAGGGCCACTCCTCCTCCTCCCCTACCTTCCCTCTCTTTCCTTATTATTGTGTACTCCTGGGGAAACACGGCATTCGTTATGATTCCAGAGAGTTTTGTTTCAGTGAGTCCAATTACATCTGGGTTCACTTCTTGTGCTCTTTCCCTTAGTTCACTTGCCTTGCTTGTGATCCCATCTATGTTCGAGTACATTGTCCTGAAACTAACTCTCTTCTGCTTCTCCTCTGGGGAGGACCTGTGGGGTCTGGGGTGAGCGGGAGCTGGGAGGATCTGGTATGGGGAGACTGGTGGAGGAGGAAGGGCTTGGGGGGGTAGGGGGAGGGGGAGGGTAGGGGGAGTGGGTGAGGGGGGGGGGGGAGGGTAGGGGGAGGGGTGAGGGGGAGGGGGAGGGTAGGGGGAGTGGGTGAGGGGGTGGGTGAGAGGGGGAGGGTTGAGGGGGGTGGGGGGATGGGGGAGAAAGGGGGGTTTGGGGGGGCAATAAAGTGGGGAGGGCTTGGGGGGCGTGGGGGGAAAGGGAAGGCTGAGGTGGTTGAGGAAGGGGGGAGGGTTTTGGGGAGTGGTGGAGAGGGGAAGGCTTAGGTGGGGTGGGGGAGAGTGGGGAGCTTAGGGGGGTGGGGGAGAATGGAGGGCTTGTGGGTGGGAGGGACGGAAGGGCATGTGGGAGAAGGGAGGGCTTGGGGGATGGGGGAGAAGGGAGGTCCTGGGGGGGAGAGGGGAATGGGAGGAGGGGGTGAGTGTGGGAGGAGAGGGGGGGGGGGGAGGGTGCCTTAGGTGGGTACTTAGTGGGGGGCTGACAGAGGTTGGGGCAGGTAGGGTGTCTGTTGGTGTGTGTGTGTGTGTGTGTGTGTGTGTGTGTGTGTGTGTGTGTGTGTGTGTGTGTGTGTGTGTGTGTGTGTGTGTGTGTGTGTGTGTGTGTGTGTACTCACCTAATTGTACTCACCTAATTGTGCTTGCGGGGGTTGAGCTTTGGCTCTTTGGTCCTGCCTCTCAACTGTCAAATAGTGTGTGTGTGTGTGTATGTGTGTGTATATATGTGTGTGTGTGTGTGTGTGTGTGTGTGTGTGTGTGTGTGTGTGTGTGTGTGTGTGTGTGTATATGTGTGTGTGTGTGTGTGTGTGTGTGTGTGTGTGTGTGTGTGTGTACTCACCTATTTGTGCTTGCAGGATCGAGCATTGACTCTGGGATCCCGCCTTTCCAGCTATCGGTTGTTTACAGCAATGACTCCTGTCCCATTTCCCTAGCATACCTAGTTTTAAAAGTATGAATAGTATTTGCTTCCACAACCTGTTCCCCAAGTGCATTCCATTTGTCCACTACTCTCACGCTAAAAGAAAACTTCCTAACATCTCTGTGACTCATCTGAGTTTCCAGTTTCCACCCATGTCCCCTCGTTCTGTTATTGTTACGTGTGAACATTTCATCTATTTCCACTTTGTCAATTCCCCTGAGTATTTTATATGTCCCTATCATATCTCCTCTCTCCCTTCTTTTCTCTAGTGTCGTAAGGTTCAGTTCCTTCAGACGCTCTTCATACACCCATCCCTCGTAACTCTGGGACAACCCTCGTCGCAAACCTCTGAACCTTCTCCAGTTTCTTTATGTGTTTCTTCAGGTGGGGGCTCCATGATGGCGCGGCATACTCTAAGACGGGTCTCACGTAGGCAGTGTAAAGCGCCCTAAAAGCCTCCTCATTTAGGTTTCTGAATGAAGTTCTAATTTTCTAATCTAATGTGTGTGTGTGTGTGTGTGTGTGTGTGTGTGTGTGTGTGTGTGTGTGTGTGTGTGTGTGTGTGTGTGTGTGTGTGTGTGTGTGTGTGTGTGTGTGTGTGTGTGTGTGTGTTTACTAGTTGTGTTTACTAGTTGTGTTTTTACGGGGGTTGAGCTTTGCTCTTTCGGCCCGCCTCTCAACTGTCAATCAACTGTTTACT